CACACATGTGAGCACATCTGTGGTTCCCGTCACCAGACGAGGAATCGCTAGAAGGAATGAAGTGGAGAAAGGACACTGGACATATCGAGACATCTGTGACTCAGGGGGATCAGGTACTGTTTACACATTAACTGACAGAGACTTGACAGTTGACGATGACTTCCCATCCAAACACCTGATGTGTCTTTCTATTTATTAAACTCTTCTCTTATCTCCTTTATCTTAAATTTTTCTTCACCTAAGACTTATGCATTTTAAATTTAATTTTATTCCTAACGATTTTTATTTAAAATGGGGCCTTTTCTTATATTTTATCTTCTGGTTACTGTTTGTATATTAAAACCTGTTGATTTTGGTATACTAATTGTGTGAATTGGGTAAAGAATGCTGTTAATTCTCTTAGGTTTTCTAGCCCACAGGTATGTCACCTGTAAATACTAACGACCTCCTCCTTTCCAAATTGTAACCTTCATTTATTTTTCTTGCCTAACTGATTTAGCCCGTATCTCCAGTAAATATTTCCAGTGTTTAGTGGGCACCTTTGGCTTTTCCCCATATAACTGGTAATGTCATTTTCAATTTCCTCAATCAAGGGATCTGGAATAGAAAATTACATTGTTTTCTGATCGGTAGATATCTGAAAGAAAACGCATACGTCATTTTAAAGCATTGCTTTATTAGAGATGTTTGTGTGATATAAGTTACTGTACAATTAATCATCCTGTAACAAAAGATTAGAAGAATAAACCTGATAAATTTTTTTCTATTATGCTCCAGAAGACAATAAATGTCAGTGATGCACTAGGACTCTATAACCGTTTTAATTTCATGTAACAAAAGAGTCGACTTCGTGAAGTAATAAATCATCTGACAAAATCCAAAGATTAGGTAAGGTGAGGATATTCAAAATCAGAATATTAAATTGCATGTACAGGAAGGCACTGACCAAGGAGTACAGTGTCGCTGTCCTGAATGGTTTCTGGAACACATCAATTGGATGGGGATTTTCAAGAAAATCTGTCCAGCGTCAGGCCGGGGTGGCTGCTGCTGGCGTGGCTTGTGGTGGATGGAGATGAATGGTTAGGACGGCAGCGCGGAGGCTGATGGCTGAAGCCTGTCTGAGCCGAGACGCATGGCCCAGAGCAGCGGGGCCCACGGGGAGGTGGGAAGCCTCGGTTCCCCAGGCTCAGTTTCTCTGACTCCCGAGGCAGGCCCCAAGGTGGCCGTGCGTTAAGTAAACAAGTAAGCTCCGTGGTGTGCAGTCCCCAGAGACGCTGAAGGCACTTGATGAAGAGCACCGGCTAAGAGCATCTGTCACTCTTGCTCCGCCGCTGACCAGCTCTGTGTCTTGGGGAATGTCCATTGGTCTCCTAAGGCTCAGTTTCATCATCTACAAGCACTTACTTCCTAAGGTTGACATGAGAATTAAAGGACATAATGATTACCAAGGTCTCAGGACAATCCCCGGGCACACCTGTGAGCCCTTACACACTCCCCGGGCACACCTGTGAACCCTTACACACTCCTCACGCACAACTGTGAGCCCTTACACACTCCCCGGGCACACCTGTGAGCCCTTACACAATCCTCACGCACACCTGTGAGCCCTTACACACTCCCCGGGGACACCTGTGAGCCCTTACACACTCCCTGGGCACACCTGTGAACCCTTACACAATCCTCATGCACACCTGTGAGCCCTTACACACTCCTCGGGGACACCTGTGAGCCCTTACACAATCCTCATGCACACCTGTGAGCCCTTACACACTCCTCGGGCACACCTGTGAACCCTTACACAATCCTCCTGCACACCTGTGAGCATTTACACGTTCCTGTGGTGGGGAAACCAGCCTAACTATGGAGGAAGGAAAGTTTCCAATCTTGCAGACCTATTTGGTTTGGGGAAGGACCGTTTTCATCTTGCAATTTCAGGAAGTTGGCACGGACTGGGATCGCTGCAGGCTTAAATTTTTATTGTTCGTGTCTTATTGCTTTTATTTATTTATTTATTTATTTATTTATTTATTTATTTATTTATTTTTATCCTCACCAAGAACATTTTTCCATTTTTTGTTCAGATAGAGTGGGAGGGAGAGAGAGAGAGAGAAACATCAACGTGAAAGGGACACATCGAGTGGCTGGCACCCTCATGACCACCAGGGCCGGGGACAAACCACAACCAAGGTACATGCCCTTAGCGGGAACCGAACCCGGGTCTCTCTGGACCACAGGCCGACGCTCTAACCGCTGAGCCAAACTGGCCAGGGCTCTTGCTGCTTCTAAATGCAAGCACTTAGCCCAGCTGGTGTGGCTGAGCATCGACCCAGGCACCAAGAGGTCGCTGGTTTGAATCCCAGTTAGGGCACATGCCCAGGTGGGGGGCATGCAGGAGGCAGCCAATGGATGTTCTCTCTCATCGATGTTTCTCTCTTTCTCTCTCTAAAATCAATAAAGAAAAATTATAAATTCAAGCACTTATTTATTTTTGTTGTCCTGACAAAAACTCCTGTATATTTTGGGTTGGGATACATGTTCTTGGGTGCTCCAGGGTCACAATGGCCAAAGAGAGGGGGCTGGCCCTGAGAAGGCCGTGTGGCCAGAGGAATCCCCGGGCCTCAGCTGGCTCCGGGCTGACGTGTGACCAGCAAGACTGGAGACTGGTTGCAGCAAGTGGTTAAAGCAGCATCCGCCTGTGATGAGACTTGAAGGTGGTCAGGCCCCTCAGCAAGACAAGGAGCACACTGCCCGCCGGAGGGACCGGGCACGCTCAGGGCAGTCCAGCCTCAGAATGTTCGAATACTCATGACCTCACAGAGAGTCAGTGGCTTCTGAGTAATGCAGAACACTTGAGTTACGGACTGTTAAGCTGTGTCTGGGGGGCTTTTTAAAATGACACGTGTCGCCCTGGCCGGTTTTGCTCAGTAGTTAGAGCGTCAGCCTGTGGACCAGAGGGTCCTGGGTTTGGTTCCCGCTACGGGCGCGTACTTCAGTTGCAGTTTGTCCCCCGCCCCACTGGGGTCGTGTGGGTGGCAACCAGTCAATGTGTCTCTCTCTGTCCTCCTTCCTCTCTCTCTCCCACTTTATCTAAAGATAAATGCAAAAATGTCATCAAGTGAGGATAAAAAAATAAATTAAATAAAATAAAATGACATGTCAAAGTAAGAATTCATTGTTGGCAATGTGGTCAGTCCCAACTCTTCCCAAGTTCTGTTTCCCTGGAATGAGCTTGAGGAGTCAAGGACTCCTAGTGCCATGGGACTAGCACATAATAATTTTTAGATGTAATTATATACAATTCAGGAATTTGGTCCATCAGCTGGAAAACCAAGAATTCCTGGAATTAATTTTACTTATTAAAATGTGTAGAATATTTTCGCAAATGCCCAGGAAAACACTGTAGGCAACACAATGCACGAATTCACAGACTGTCCCTGGAGCCGGGCCAGCGGGGCTCTGCGGGCCTCGCCTGGCTGAGGACAGAGCGTGCCCAGCACGGAGGCCAACACAGGCCAGCGGCCTTCTGCAGATGACAGCAGGACTCAGGAAATGACGCACATGGCCTCGTGCCCATGGAGCCTCCTGAGGGCAGGGGCTCACACACCTGTGAGTATGAATGGGCACAGAAGAGTTAAAAGAACGATGCAGCGCTGGTCTCACCACGCAGTGGCAAGTGGTTACTACGTCTGTGTTCTGGAAAGTCTGAGTTTGGTCTGAGGGAGACCAGTACTGGGGCACGACCTCCAGAGTGCAGCTGCAACCCCTGGTCCATGGGGCTATTCGGGTTGAGAGGACAGAGACTCTATGCTATAAACTTGGGAAGTGTGCGGTCAAACAAAGTCAAGGGGTCTCCTCCCTGGGATCCCTCACAGGGGAAGATGCTAACTTGCTCTGTGCTATCCGAGCAGAAACCATGCAGCGGCACATTTCCCAAGTGTCCTCAGCCCGCAGAAGCGTCTGAGCACCCCACTGCCTCCCTGAGCACCCCACTGCCTCCCTGAGTAACCCACTGCCTCCCTGAGCACCCCACTGCCTCCCTGAGCACCCCACTGCCTCCCTGAGCACCTCACTGCCTCCCTGAGCACCCCTCTGCCTCCCTGAGCACCCCTCTGCCTCCCTGAGCACCCAACTGCCTCCCTGAGCACCCCACTGCCTCCCTGAGCACCCCGCTGCCTCCCTGAGCACCTCGCTGCCTTCCTGAGCACCCTGCTGCCTCCCTGAGCACCCCGCTGCCTCCCTGAGCACCTCGCTGCCTCCCTGAGCACCGCACTCTCAGACTGAGCACCGCACCACCTGAGTACAAATATTATACAGTCACCTGACCCAGTCACACTGCCTGCTCCCTTCCTGTCTCCTGTTGGAGGATTTGAGTGTCCCGACGAAATGTCAGGAGTCGGGTGCTGCCACACATCACTGATAGGCTGTTAGATGAAAAAAATTTTTTGGACTTTTTCACATGAATTCTGAGCTTTTCATGAATCACAGAAGAAGGTGAAAAGCTGTTAATTTCAGATTCTGGGGTAATTAGCTCCCTCACAGAATGCCCCAATGGGACAGGCTAGTCGCCATGGTGGGAGACATAGCCCTGTTTGGTTTTCTTTTCGTAGGGTCTTCAAGCAGGAGACATTTTAATTGCCACAGAAGGCAGGATGATAGAGGGAAAGAGCTGCTGTTCCAGGAGAATTCACCCCTCTCTGTCCAATGGGCGCTGAGATGAAAAGATTTTCAAATCGTATGCAGGATGCTCCCACTGACAACCCAGTCAAGGGGCCTCTGAGTGACATTTAGAAGGAAATTCAGCTGAAGCCCCCCCCCACCCACACACACACCCCCCCACCTGCGGACCTTGCCTCAGCCTCGGGAGAGCGGACGTGGCCCCGCTTCGGGCTGGCAGACCCGGAGGCTCTGTCTCCGTCACTGATGCGGGCGCGAGGTGAGAGCGCCCCGAGCACTCGTAGAGATGACGCGATCACTCACCCTCCTTCCCGGTGCTACTCGCCTCAGGCCTGTGCTCCCCGGACCCCAGCTGCCACACCGGAAGCTGACTCGGCTCGCTCTCCGCCTCCTTTGCTGGCTGGAGCTGCAGGATCATGGCCTGCAGAGTCCCCTTCACCATCTGGAGCTCCCTCCTGAGACACTGTGCACGTGGTTAAGGAGCATGAGGGGGAGGTGGCGGCCCTCTGCGGCCTCCAGGAGAGCATGCGTGCCTGCTGGGAGCAGATGGGCCTGTCATCTAATTGCAGTTTCAAGTTCTTCCAAATCAGAGGAATTAAATATTAATACAAATCTTACACTTCTTTTAAGAGCAAGTGCAATTTCTACAAGGCCTGGGGTTATTAACTATCTCAAGTGAGGTCTCCAAAAGGAAAAGGAAGAGTCAGCTCTTGGACCCAGACAGATGGCCAGCTGGGATGCTCCATGGCACGTGGTCTGTGAGACGCTGCTTCCTGCTAAGCCCAAGCCAGGGCAGGGAAACTGTCACAGCGAAGTGCTCTGACGGCACAGAGGCCAGAAGGCTGGGACCAGAGCCTCCTCAGTGTGGGGTTAGGGGGTTGGAAGATGGACGTTTTTCAACCTTGTGTTAAGCACTCTCAACCTTGTGTTAATGCATTCTCGGCATCCTAGCCTAAAGGGGGGACCTGGCCTGCCCAGGTGTATTGGGTGCTTCATTTGCATGTGAATAAGTGGTCGTTATCTTTTGGCTTCAAGGTCTCTTCCCATAAAAAGCAAGAGACAAAGCTAGGGTGTATGTCTGCAGTAATACCATCTCAAGGAAATAATTTACTTAAATCTACTTGTGACCTGGGGGTACCAATCTGCAGATAAATGGGACTGCGTCCAGAGAAATGGAGCATTTGCTACCTTGCAACAGCGTGTGCTTGTAGTTTCATTGCGTTGCACTGATCCCGGCAGGCCAAGGGACGGCACTCAAGAAATCCAGGATTTGGGGTCCAGACTCAATGTCACGAGTTACGGTCCCTGCTGGCCATCAGCCAGCCGTGTCAGCTTGTGTAAACCACTTTGAACCTCAGTTATCTCATGAAAAACTGACTTCTCAAGCCCTGTCACTTCCAATCTGCTGTCCTGTGTTCTTCAATTCCCAGGTGCTTGTACAGTAGCTGCTCAGACACTGGGGATTTCAGAGTGTGGGAGCTTGCTTTTTCTGGGTTTGTTTTCCTTAGACTGTTGGGTTCTTAGCTTCCTGCCCTGTAAAGTTGTTACTCACATAGAGAAAACAATTTCAGAGAACTTAGCAAAGAATTATGTAGAATAAATCAGTCAGTTATTCTCTTAAGAAATGGGCTGTCTTCTGGGTGTTTACCCCCAGGAACATTTAACCAGTGGGGGCTTTTCTGTCTACCCCTGGGGACCCTGTGCTCCTTCCTGATGTACCTCCAGTCAGAACAACTCCAAGATAAACATAGGACGAGAGATGGGTTGAGTCCTTTTCATTTAACTAGCAAACTAATTGAACCTCATCCAACAGGAAAAAAGGGAAAACAGAGAGATATGTTGACACCATTTAAACACCATTAAATCATCACATGAGGTCAGACCACTTGAATATTACCCGATCAGATAAGGAGAAAACACAAAGCTTGGGAAAGGTAGCTCGCAGAGCCCCTACCTCTCACAGGCTGTCTATGCCACCGTGTCCTTTTATTTAAAGAAAACGTCAATGCACTGTCGAGAGAAAAAGACAACCTCATGATGTACAAAGCTTTCTCTTTCTTAAAAATAATAAGAAGCAGTAGAGGATCCTGGGAATTATGCAAATGAATGTCTCCTAAGCAAAAAAAAATGCTGAACCCCCCTGAAAGGCATCTGGCAGCTTTCCATCTTCTCGGAGCTTCACCAGACTTCACCATTTGTGTAACTGACGTGCATTGACTATGACGGCTCACTCCTGACACTTGAACTTGAGGTGAATGAGGGTGGGGTTAAGGGGATGCAAGGAGAAATAATCTGATATTTTTTTAAAGTCCTCGTTTTCCCCCATTTCTCTGGACAGCTCTGCTACGCTTTAGTAAAAACACACATGACTGTGTATAAGCAAGAGCATAAGTGGTCCCAGACCAAACACCAGGCTGCAGTTTAATCACTAAGTTATGCTACATTTACACAGAGCGAGCACAGAGAAGCAGTTTATGACCCTGACGAACTCCTCTGATTTAATTACCTTTGATATGCAGCCTGGGACTACACACCCCTCTTTGTAATATGCTAAATGATGACAAAGATTTTGAGAGAGAGAAACTGAACCAAAATGAGATGCTTCTTAAAGAACTCGTCAAAATTCTGGTACCAGTAGAACACACTGCATAGATTTTTAAAAGGAGAAGCCACAAAACGAACAGGTTCAGTCAGGTCACTAGCATATCGCAGCCCCCACACAACAATCTCCACCGACACGCAGAGGAGTCGGAAGACGAAGATCCCAGGAACGGTCACCTGCTCTGCGAAGCTGCCAATCACTCACTGCTTTAATGGTCTCACTTGTAAAATGTGGAGACTTGCATCTTCATATAGGACTAGGGCTCAAAGCAATATCTTTCTCTTGTGAGCACACAGTGCCTTTTGTGAGGCCTGTGACGTGAGGTTAATTTACAAATGCAGCAGATTAGCCAGCACCTTCGGCTCTCACGCGGGCTAGACTTCAGAACTCCTGGAGACCTCCTTTAGTGAGCCTAGGAGGTAATAAGCATCAAAATGATGAAAATAACCAACCTGCCTTATGGGTCCTTACTAAGCTTGAGTTCCAAAACAGTTTGAATGTACTGAAATGGAAAAGAATCAGAATAAAATGGGGAAAGGGAGAAGACCAAAAAATGTTGCAAAACAATTTGTATGAAAAGGAACCCAATTATGCAAAGAAAAAAGAAAAGAAAAGAACTAAGCCATTCCTAGCCAGAAAAGCACCTTAGAAAAGCACAGAGGTGAGTTTGCGGTACTGACATCAGGAGGGAGACGTAGCCTTTTCCATACTTCTGTGATGTTCACATGCCTACTCTCGCGCTCAAGTCAACGTGTTTCTAAAAGAAACCACTCGAAACATTTTGCCACAAGTAATTGGGGAACGGAAAGCACAGACATCCTCATTCTTCCCTTCACTCGTTCAAGCATTCAAACATTATCTGAGCTCCGACGGTGTGCTGGGAGGTGATCAGGACGTGGGACCTGCCGTGGTGGGGCTTCGGGGCCAGTGAGCAGAAAGTGTGCACACAGCATGTACACAGACCGGGAGACAAGAGCCCGGGCGCACGGAGCAGGGCGCCACAGTCACTCGTCTGCTTTCTTCGTTAGGAGATTAAAGGGGCCACAGCGGAAGCATGGATTGGAGCGATGCTGTGGCGAGAATCTCACAAGGAAAGATCCGGGTTTGGCCCCCAGCAGTGGCAGGGGTGGTGGTGAGAGGGGTTTGGATTCTGGGTGTTTGGAAGACAGAGCCAACAGCACAGGTGACGGACTGGTTACAGAAGGGACAAGGAAAAGGCGTCGAGAACGACTCCCAGATTTTGTTCTAAGCAATGAACTGGAAAAACAGACTTGCAATTTATCTAGGAGAAGGAGGCGGGGCATGAGTCGGGTTTTTTGAGTGTGGGGAGGAATCTGATTTGGGACATGCCAGGCTGGAAAAGCCTACGTCAGCCAAGTGGAGATGTTGAGCGGGAAGCTGACATGAACCTGAGTTTGGGGAGAGATCCAGGCTCCAGAAAGGTGCTAGAGGTCATATGGAAAAATACAATTTGAAAAATATTTTCACACATTCTCCCTGTATCCCATTTGATACACTTTACCAAAATCCTAAGGCTATGAAGCAGTACAGTAGGACTGGAATTTCTGTTATTTCAATAAACTCATCATTGAAGCCTATTGACATACTTGGCCTTGATTTTTGTCAAGGAGCTGAGCAAATACAGTAGCTCCACATTGGAATTCTACGTGTACATGATAGAGGTGCTCACCACTTTCAAGAACAAGCACGGGTCTCAGAAGAGCCGACTGATCCCTGGTATCCCGTGCCATGGAAACCTCTCGAGCTGAGTATAATGTTCCCTGAAACAAATATGCCACCAGACGTCTGTGGCATCTGAGAAAATGGGCACGTCACCTACAGTAATGGTGCAAGGACTAGAATGCCAGCATCTTTAAAGCAACTTTGGAACCCAAGGCCGTTCTTCCCCACTGCAGGACAGACTAATGCAGTGATACTGTGCGAACTGTGTGTATAATTAGTTAAGGGGTAAGACAGCAAAATACGTCTTACGGGAATCTCCAGGAGCCTGGAGGTGAAGCGACGTTGTCATTTAGGGCAGCCATTTGCAAAGACCCTCAAATTCCTTCAAAGGGGTCTTTTGTTCATGTATGAAAACAACTGAGTGTTTTACTGTCAGCTGGGTTTTCAAGTAATTGTTTTAAGAGGTGAGTCAAAAGTAGGTCTTCAGTCCATCTGACCTGGTTTGTTTCAAAGAGAGATAAGAGCAGTCCTTCGAAACTGCTTCTTATTTGCTAAATTATTTCTTCATATCAACAGCGACTCCTCCTCAGCCACTGTGGCCTACAGTACTGGGACACTGACCTTCATGCAAAGCCAAAGGTGAGGTGCTCAGATGCTCAAGAGCAAAGACGGGCGCCTTGCCCACACACACCCCACTTCACGGGTTCGGTGCTTGCACAGGGCACTCTTTGTGGTCCACACCCTCCCCCAGCTTCCTCTTCTCCTCCGTTGTAGGGCTCCACCTCTTCCTCTCCCCGCCCCACTCTCTTCAGTGGGAGCCAAACAAGAGCCATGGCCCCCAGACCTGCACCAGCCCAGCGCTCACCTGCCTTAAACAACAACCTCCTAGGGTCTCGGTTTTCTCATCTACAAAACTGGAGCGTGGAGAGCCATTGTCCTTGTGATTGCTCTTCCAGCTCTCAGCTCTAGAAGCAGAAACATTCCCCAGGACACAGGGCAACTGCCCCAAACTGTTCTTTGGTCTGTTCAAGCTACAAATTAGAAAGTTGGACCAAACAAGGGTTCTGAGGAGGAGGCATGTCTGCGCGGGCTCCCGGATGCGTTCGCAGTAGTTGCCCGATACCAGGCATCACCACGGGTCCACTGGGCACTGCACCCTCCAAACAAGCAGAGAGAGCAGATCCCATGCGGGTTCCCCAGCGTGGCTGTGAATAGGGCTGCAAACAGAAGCAGTGAGTCCACCTCTTCTGTGACTCAGAAGCAGGCAGAGCTGCCCTGGGGGCCTTCAAACATTCCACAAGTGTCCCAGTCCTGGGTGGCTTCTTTTCCTTTGAAAGTGTGTTGTACAATCAAAGGCGAAACAGTGAGGGAAACCCCTGCTGAAAAATCCACCAAACCTGCGTGTTTCAGTTCAAGCGTTCTGAACACGATGGAACCATTACAGACACTCAAAATGTTTTTTGAAACCTAACTGCTGATTAGGACCCAAAATGACTGTGAAATTGTCCTGGAGACTCAGAGGGATGCTCCTGGAAATTGGGCTTGACAGGCAGCGAGGGCACGGCCCCCATCCTGTCCTCGGACACCAGGCGTGCGTCACCACCCCCACTCCAGCTCCTCCAGCTCGTGGTGCAGACTGTCTAGGCACTGGTCACGGCGGCTCACAGGCTGTGTCGCTATCTGGTCGGACTACATGTACTGTCCTGAGGCTGCCAGGATGATGGAGACATGGCCTGCTTCCCTGTCCTCTGTCTTCGTGACGGCCACCGCGTGTCTGGGCTCTGCCACAGCGCTCAGCAGCATCAGACACAAATGCTGCCCACTGCGTGGTCCTCTCCTGGGAATGGAAGCATTTCTTTCGAGCACCCTCAGCTCGGTGTCTGATCAGGAATGGATGCAAACCAGTCAGCATCTGGCCAGGGGATCCCAGCAGCCTCTCTGGATCTCTAGGTAAATTCTAATCTGAAACAAGTCCTGTCTCCGCGGAATCTCATAAATGCCTGTCTCAGGACATCCGTTCCCGTCGGGGTGCTGCTGAGTTCAGAGTTACCTCCCTTGTGTTTACTCTTGTCGGTGACGTGGGGCAAACCAGCGCTCCAGAGAAGAGTCCGGGTTGAAATCCAGACTATAGTCTAGATTTTATCGGGCGGGGATTGACTTCAGTACCTAAACCAGCCCTTCTCTGCTGGAAGACTCTGCCACCGGTTGGAAACGGCCTAGGACAGCCATGTAATTGCTACGCCTCAGTTTTCTCAACTGTCCGGTAGGAATAATAACCCCATCTATCCACATCATTTTAGCAGAATTAAATGGCTTTTTCATATGAGCCATTGTGCAGCTACTGATCAATTCTTTAAGCATGTGCTACAAAATAGTTGAATCGGTTTACCGTAAGACCCCTTATGGGATGTGGTGTGAGCTTGGACCTGGATGCTGAGAGGTGAGGCAGAATCGTTTTCTACCTAAAACCAAGCACTTACCACATATAACAACTATGTTAAACATACTTTCTGAATATAACCTCATTTAGCCCCATGGAAACCTCAGGGGTACACGTTATATCTGATATAACAGATGAAAGCTGATGCCCACAGGGGCCTAGAAATCATCGTGATCCTCCTGCTACTGGATCTGGACTGGACAGGCTGTGGGGAAGCGGAGAACTTTGTTTACACGCAGCTTTGTCCCCTCTCAGGCCCCACACCGCCACCCAACCCTGTTCAGGGGAAAACCCAATGCCTGGGAATCACACTAACCTTCTAGAGAATTTCTGAGAAAGAGAACAGCGCAGGTCCTGACTGCAGCTCTCAGGGCTGCCGCCTGACCCGTCAAGCCTGGGGGGCATCCCTCTGAGGAAAGTCCCCACCTGCTGGCATCCAGCCCTCCGCCCACCCTGGTGCCCCGCACGTGCTGACCCCAGATGCCCAGCCACAGACAGGCACTTGCTGAGGGCCATGCCCCCTTCAAAGTGCTCAAATCTCTGTTCCATGAACGTGGAATAAATAAAAATTACTCTACTGTTTCTTTGGCCAACTTGCTAATAATAGCTTAAATACCAGTTTGGAAGGGGCAGGAAATTACGAAGAATAAAATGTCTACTTTTAAAATCTACCTTGAACAATGTGAAAATAATAGCTGATTAAGTCAAAGGACTTTCCTGCTAAGTTTATTTAATAAGCAAGGTCAAACATGTAACGTTATAATGAGGAAGGAAACAGCGATGGATCCAACATTGAACTGTAGGTCTGAATACTTATGGTTAAGATTCATCCCTGGCAGTGCAAGGCTACTCACACACACACACACACACACACACACACTCAAGATAAAGCACGGTGAGAACTGGAACACTGAAGAGTAAGGTAGCGATGAGAAGCAAAGACCAAAATAATTACATTTCCCAAAAACACATCTCATAAAAGGCGTGTGCTGGATAGAAAGGATGAAAGAACAGAGAGGTGCTCGTCTGAGGGGTCAGCCTGTGAGCAGGTAACTGAAAAGACAGGGAAGGGCTACATGTCCCTTCATCCACCTGTGCACCAGCCTGCCCACCCTCAGAGGAACTAACAGCGACCAAAGGCACCCACAGACCCACACAGGACACATGCTTCACACGGGCACAGTCCTCGACCGACAGATGTCTCCTGCCATCTCGCCCACCGGCGGCTAACTCTGATGACAGTATCTGCAGATGTGACTATTTAGACTTGTGCAAGAAATTACCCAGAGACCATGCCAAATTCTGTGAGTTTACTACTCTGCTGCCTGTTACATGGAGAACCAAAGGGTAATCAGACCTGGATCTGGGTTTCTTGGCTTGGAAAAGCCCCTAGAAAATGGAGCCAGGAAGACCAGCAACCGCCTGAGCCCCATAAACCCAGCTTGACAACGCTGAATACTGCATTCTGCTCTGGTCTCAATGTGAGCACGTCTGAACTTTGTGGCTAATTTTCAGTGGTCAGGCTTAACAATCAAATGTGCGAAGTTACCTACCTCAAACCAGAGAGAGAGCATGGCAGGGTCTGATCTCAGACGCCTGAGGTGTGCTGAACTGTGCACGCCAGCAGCAGGCATCTGCTTCCAACTGCTGAGGCCTGGACCGCTGGCTGTTTGTTAAGACTCGCTTTTACCAACAACCTGGCAGGTGTTGGACCTGCACGACAGAAAGGATATGGATGAGATCCTCATCGTGACTGTGGATCGCCACGTGAAGCTGGTCTTCCAAGTACAGTAACTTCTTGCCTATGGCTTCGCATTTTTCTCCAAGTTCAGCAGAAAGGATGTAAGACTCCTGGCCAAAGGGGGAGTAAAAAAAAAGACAACATGTAAGCTACAGATTTTTTTTCAGGGCCACGAACGCATCTGTGATTCACCCAGTGGCACATAAAGGGAAGGCTTCCCAGCAGAGCGCCCGCAGCCTCTGCCCCACGAGAGCCGTACACAGCCTCTGTCTTCCCCGGAGGTCGTTGTTGGGAAAACATGGCTCCAGAGGGTACCCCTTATCTGGTCTTTTCTAAGTGCTGTTTCCAGTATGTCAATTCCTAAAGTGGATTTATCCTCAGGGATCCTGAGTCTTCCAGCTACATCCACAGGCAAACTGACAATATATCAGGAATTCTAACCAAAGGGGGCTGGGGCAAGTCACGGGGCAGCGAGCCTGTAAGAACAGAGACATTCCTGTAAGGGGACAGGAGTGTACTGGACGTTTGTTTACACACTGGTCACAGTCCCTGAAAGCTAGAACATTACAGAAACTTTCGATGCCATTGGGTATATATATATAGGTGTTAATTTTCTCTCCACTTCACTGGAGTGTAGCCCCCTAAGAGCCAGGATGATAACTGTCAAGCCCCGTAGAGCAGGGATGATGATGTCTTGCTCGCTGCTAGGTCCAGAGCTCCTGGCACAATGCCAGACACATGGCAGTCACGTGGTATTCAGTGATTCCATGAATGAAGAGCCAAGTCTTGGAATTCACTCCTTCTCCAATGTTTCCCCTTTAAATGCACATCCCAGACGTGAGCCAGAAGAGTGCCTTCTCTGGGTCAGCTTCCTGCAAAAGCCACCACAGAGCAGAGGCCCCTCCATGGGCTGGCACCAGGCCGCACACTTCAGTCATTTAAGTATTTAAGTGCAACCAAACCATGCCAGTTGGACTGACCACACTGTTCTCCGTCGCACTGTGCTTCCTGATGGTGCCCTTGCCTCCTTTCTTCTCTGAAACCCAGCCTCTCCTTCAGGGCCCCGGACTCCGCCTCCACCTTGCAGCGCAGCAATTCAGATGTGTGCCAGGTTCCCACGAGCGACCGTAAACCCCCTGTGGGCAGGGCCAAGGTCATTCATTTGTCCCAGGGCCTCGAGTATAAGGCCTGGCATACGGAAGGTCACAGATTTTTAAAAGAAAAGAATCAACAAGGTCAAGAAAATGAGGAAAGAACATAGGGACTCAGAATCAAGGGAAAGAAGAAAAGCACATTACGCTTAGGGAGAGCAGCCAGACAGAGACATATCATATGATGTCACTTGTATGTGAAATCTAAAAGAGCTGAACGTGTAGAATTAGAGTAAAGGGTGGTCAGCAGGGCAGGGGCGGGGGCGGATGTCACTGAAGGGAACAGACTTGCACCTGGGAAGTGAACAGCCCTGCAGCTCTAATGCACAGCACAGTGACTGTAGTCGACACGACTACATTATAAACTTCAAAAACACTAAGAAACCAGATCCAAGTGTTCTCACCAGAAAAAAACAAATGTAAGTATGTGTCATGATAGAGGTGCTAGCTGCAGCAGTGATCATATTGCAATATACCAGTGTATCACATCAACATGTTATACACCTTAAACTCATACAATGTTATATGTCAATTATATCGCAGTGAAAAATATGATAAATAATAAATAAATAAGCAGCAAAAAGTGAGCTCAGAATTTAAACTTAACCAAACATAAAAGCAGCATTTTCCTAACTAGTAGTCAAGACTGAGAAGCTACACTAAAAATAATTATGCATAAGGAAAATAATTAAGATATATGTTCACTCTGGCTGGGTGGTTTAGTTGGTTGGAACATCGTCCCATACACCAAAAGGTTGCAGGTTCAATTCCCAATCAGGGCACATACCTAGGTTATGGGTTTGATCCCCAGTTGGAGCGTGTATGGGAGGCAACCGATCAATGTTTCTCTCTCACATCAATGTTTCTGTCTCTCTCTCTCCCTTCCTCTCTCTCTCTCAAATCAACAGAAACATGTCCTCGGGTGAGAATTAAAAAACAGAGATATATAGTCAAATTATATTACAGAGTTACTGCAAAAGCTATAATTACTAGCCAACAATAACAACAAAACACCCAGCTGCAGTGATATTTACTGTTAAAAACTCCTTGGAGATCATAAGTTATATAATATTATAATTGGAGCCTATGAATAACCATTAAATCCAGATATATAATTTAACGTTCACTCCAGTAACTCCAGAATGCTTTAAAGTTTATATCCCAAATGACCAACCATATTAGAATAAAACAGTGCTAATGGGAACTATACATAAGTATGATAAATAATGGAGACATTTAATATACTGCAAGTAAATGTACATACAAGAGAAAAGAAATCTAGTTATAACACACAACTTCAAGGACAAGTAGACAGAATTAAACACGCAGGCGTGTGAAGCATGAAGGCTTGCTCATCACTGGCCACAGCGGTGATGATGAGAAGACAGCAAGCAGGTAAAGATCATGCATGCAGATACATGTTACTGATCCTAAAAGTAGTAACATTATCACTCAATGCTGAATTTGCAGAGTGGACAAATTATACAGAAGCTGAGACCATGCACAACGAGCAACACCACGGTCGTGCTTGGAATAACTGAGACACTCAGGAAAGAACATCTGGAGAGAAGTGATGGACAGTGGCGACACAAGTCACACATGAAGGAGAGAAATCCAGTACTAGTGGGAAAACACATACGACTGAGAATACACTTACAGACAGAAAAAACAGACTCAGAACACAGAACCACGAAATTTAAAACACTCTTAAATGGAATCAAATGACTCGATCCTCATTTTAAGGCAAAAACAAATATAAATCAAAGCTGAATTAAATCATTTAAAATATGGCTTTACATTTCTCCCCAAACATGCAATCCCTGCCTATTTTTCTTTTAAATTATGTACCAATTGTGTGAGTTTGGGAAAGTAATTTCAGAGTACATGGTCTGAATTTTAAATTTTAAATAGTTTATATCCTATGATTCAATAATTCTGCTTCCTGGAATAACTCAAAAAAAGTATATATTTAAATTGAAATAATTTTTATTAAGTCTTTTATTATAAAAAAAAGTTTACTATGTGCATTAAATAAAAATATAATATTTTAATAATACAAAAGTAATTGTATTAAAATTATTGGAAAGAGGAAATAAGTGTCCAGCAATAAAGAATATGGTTAAAATAAATTCTGGTATATGTGTTTCATATTCAGCCATTAAAATCATTTTTAATACAAGAATATTTAATAATGAGGAAATATTCAAATAGGCAAAGCACTAAAATATTAACAATTATTACTTTGAGTGACAGTATTATAGCAAATTTTTATTTTCTTCTCTATCCTTTGTTGTATTTTCCACATCTCTAAAGCATAATGAAGAAAAAGTTACTACAACAGTAACTCAAACCTTAATGAAAAAGTATGGAAAAAATACACCTGAGTATTTCTTAAAATAATATTAAAGGCTAATAGAAGTAGGGTTCAGACTGAAAAACCTCAGAGGGGTGGGAGGGGGCAGGGAGAGATAAACCAAAGCACTTACTTGCATGTGTGCCAACCATGGACACAGACAACAGTGCTGGGAGGGGGCGGGATAGGGAGGAGGGTGTCAATGGGGGAAAAAGGAGAAACATCTGTAACAAAAATAAATTAATTTTAAAAAATAATAAAAATAATATTAAAGGTTAAAAAGACACAGAGGCAGAGGACAGATGGAGGTCTGAGGTTCCATGACCAGTCAGAAGCCCCGACTGGTGTTCGCTCACAGGGGAATGTTCTCCGGGCTGAGGATGTCTGTCAGGCTCCTGAGCAAACCATGGCCTGACAGCTTCTGACCCTGCAGGAGGGGATCCTGGGGGTGGCCAGGGCATCATTCGAGGAGTTTGTGACTTTACCAAAAGGCTCCCACTAGGAATCCTGGGAACAGAACTGGTGTACAACCCAACCCGAGAAGTGACCGCTGCGGAGAGGGCAGATTTACAAGTTTCTGTGAGCCTGATGAAAACCGAGCAGAGGACAGGGTGGGACCGGAGTCAGGGTGATCACCTGGACAAAGCTGCAGAGGTCCTGCCTGTAACCCCCAAACTTGGAGAGCCAGGCGAAACTTCTTTGTCTACCTCCTTGCTGTGCCCAGGTATGGCAGAGGTTATGTGTGGCCTTCGGGGACCTTGCCTGTCTGCCTTCATCTTCTCTCTGCTGAACCTGGGTGTGCCTTTGGGGATCTTCAATGCACATGACACACAAACAACGAGCCTGACTTCCAAAGCCAGATCGTAACAGGTGTCTTCTCAGACCATGTTGTGAGGAAGCCTAAGCCACATAGGCAGGCCACATGTTGTGACTAGTTGTGAGCCCCAGCTAAAGCCCCAGCCAACAACCAGACTTGGGAGGGGCTGAGCTCCAGCTGACTGCAGGTTCCACCTTCAAGTCATCCCCCTAACACCCTGCCACTGCAGAGACAGCCCGCCTCACAGTGCCCCTCCAAGTCCCTTACCCACAGACCCACACATACAAGAAATGGTGGTTCAAATCACTAAGCTGGGGTGATTTGTTGTGTAGCTATAGTAGCTAAAACAGTGGGCTAAATGGTTCTGCCCTGCACAGGATGCTACAGGGTGGACAGGACTGTGGACAATGCTGGCTGGAAGTGCACCCTCACTGGTGCCTCCTACATACTGACTTCCAACACTGGCTAGTTGTTGATGCCCACTAAAGTGCTGATGCCCAGATCTGTCTCAGGGTGGGGAGCACCTGTGCATGCTGGGAACTGCAGCTGTGAGGCTGAGAGGTGCAAAAAACAGGCTTCCTTGAGCAGCCGCTCACACTGGTCGCCGGTCCCCAGCTCCCTGGCCCCTGGTGGAATGTGCAGGCTACTAAACAGTGCTGAGCAACATGCTTGCTCTCCATATGAGCAGCAGGGCCTCACTTCCTTCCAGCCTTGGGAGAAATGGCTCTTCCTACAGTGGCCACTCAGCACAGCGAGGTGCCCCCATCCCAAGGCAGAAGGGCAAGAGAT